CAAAAACTGAAGGCAACTACCCACCCTAATCAAAAAAGTAAAGGATGTAGAAGTACCTTGTTAAAAAAAAAACAGAAATGCTGTCCTGCCTTCAGAATTCCAATCACAAGTGTATTGCTGCAACTTAATGTGCAATACTAAGTACAGATCCTTTTCTCCATTTGCAAAATCAAGATTTCCTCATATAACTAAGGGAATATTGTCTTTAATAATCAATTTATAGTTGAGAATAATTACATTGTTAAAGCTCAGCAAATGGTGCTAGAACTGGATAACCACCTGAAAAAGAATTAAGTCAGATCCTTACCTCATACTATACACAAAACTTAACTCAAAATTATCACACACTTAAACATTAGAGTTAAAAAGTACACAATTTTTAGAAAAAAAGCAGATGCAAATCTTCCTGGCCTTGGATTAGACAAATGACTTCTTAGAGATGATACCAAAACACAAGAGATGAAAGAAAAGATAAACTGGACATCAAAATTAAAACACTTTAAGCTTCAAAGAACACAATCAAGAAAGTGAAGACAACCGATGGAAAAGGAGAAACTATTTGCAAATCATTTATCTGACTTGTACCCAGAACATATAAACAACTCTTACAATTCAACAAAAAAACAATCCAATTTCCGAAAAATGAGCAAAGGACTGGAATCAACATTTCTCCAAAGATACAGAAATGGCCAATTAAGCACATGAAAAGATGCTCAATACCATTAGTCACTATGGATGCAAATAAAAAAATAGCACTTCACTAGGATCACTATAATAAAAAAGACAATAATAAGTGTTGATGAGGATATAGAGAAGTGGAACCCTCATACACTGCTGGTAGAAATGTAAAATGGTGCAACCACTTTGGAAAACAGTCTTGAAGTTTCTCAAAGTTTAAGCAGAGAGTTACTGCATGACCCAGGAATTCCACTCCCAGATATTATACCCAAGAGGAGTGAACACTTATGTCCACATAAAAACTTGGACACAAATTTTCATAGCAGCATAGTTTATAGTAGCCAAAAAGCAGAAACAATCTAAACGTCCATCAATGAATGGATAAACAAACAAAAAAATGTGGTATGCAGTGGACTATTACTCAGCAATAAAAAGGAAGTGATGATATATACTACAACATGGATAAATCTAGAAACATTATGCTAAATGAATGAAAGACAAACACAAAAGGTCATACCTTGTATGACTCTATTTCTATGAAAGGTACAGAATAGGCAAATCCATAGAAACAAAGTAGATTAGCTGTTGCAAGGACAAAGGGGCAATGACTGCTAATGGATAGTCTCTTTTTGGGGTGATGAAAATGTTCTGGATACTGGTGAGGTTTACACAACTGTAAACATACTAAAACTCAATGAATTAAATAGTTTAAAAGGGTGAATTTTATAGTACATGAAACAAAATTCAGTCTAGCTGTTATTTTAAAAATTAATTAAAAAACAGGACATGCAACTGATTTCCAACAATGCCTTTATCCATTCAAATATTTATTTATGTGAATTCAATCCACATAAAAATGTGACTTACTAAAGTGTGAAAAAAACAAAATTGTGTTGTGTTGGTTAAGGAGGGGGCAGGAGAGTTTGCCGTCAATATATGAACTATAAAAATATAGGATGCTATTGTTTTATTACTAAAAGATCAATTCACTAGGCAACTAAAAAATTATCAACTTTATATTCAATTTACCTGACCAACCTCCATTTTAAAATTCAAACTGATGGCTCTTGTCAAAAAATTTCATCTTAACCAAAATGCCACTGTCCCAGAAAGCAAAAAATGCTTACTGATCCAGATTTCTCAAGTGGTGAAATTACTGGTGTAACCCTATGGATGTGCCTTTTACAAATGTCAAGTAGCCTAAGTAAAAATGCCTGTATTTCTGGGAAGTTTATTAACAGACTCACTTAAGCTTCACTTGTGCAAAAAAGGTTTCTGAAGCTCAAAGAAAAAAGGTTTTATGTGAACTACTTTCTAAAAATCAATCATTTCAAGGGGAAAAATATTTTGATGGACTATAGGAAGAAGATAAGTTTCCACTTAGATGCAGTGGATAAATTAAAATGGCTTACTGCTAGGAGGCCATGTATCCATAAAATACCAGGCCTCCTACTCACATACAGAACAGAAACATACACACCTATTTTCCAACATCAGTATCCACCCCTGTACTACATAATTACATGTATTATCCTTGGTATATAAAAAATGCTATGGACCAGCCTGTTTGTGTTTTCTTCCAACGCTGTTGACAGGTAGCAGTGAATCACACATTCTCCAGTGTCTCATCCACCTCATGATCAATGACACATGCTGTCAACATCTGAGGTTAGGAATGCAAACTGAGACTACAGATATTTTCTCCTTCCCATGATGCTCAATGTTACTATATACAAATATGGTATGACCACCCTTAGTGACACTGGTGCCTAACTCAAACCAAAGTCACTGCCCCAGACTTAAGTCTGCAGTAAACTACAAACTGCGGCCCTTACTTTTATTTGAATAAGACATGATCATCATCAAACCGTTGAGCTGTCCTTCACAGGAAGAAAACTAGATTAATAAAAATAAACATACTGACCCCCCCCCCAAAAAAAAAGTGTTTTTAAAGACAGCCATAATTTCAAAATTTTGCCTTATAAATCATCCAAGCCCCTGAAACTCCAATACTTAGAAGAGTACAAACCAAGTATCCTAAAATACTTCCACAACCAAAAATATTTTGTCAAACCATGTATCCATATTTTAAGTGCCGAATATTGTCTCCAAAGACAGAGGGTTTGGGGTTCATACCCATTTCTCCAAGTCTTAAAAATTTAATTGGGAAACAGAATAAATGTTAAAAAGATAAAATGAAATATAGGCTAACGTGATAAAAAAAAAAATCCCACACAAAAGAAGAATGAATTCCCTTGGGGTTGAAGGAGTCAAAAAGGTTTCTCAACAGAAAGGACTCAAAAAAGCCCAAAGTAAAGAGAATATCCACGAATACAAGGAGAAGAAGGTCTCAAACAGAAAGAAAAGCATAAAGAAAGGTCAAGCAGACAGCCTTCAAAGGAACAACAAGCAAGTTAGTTTGGCTGGAACTAAGGATCACAAAGAGAAGTAGACTGAGGGTGGATTAGGGCCAGATTACACAGAAACTTGGAACACCACAACAAGCATCTTAAGTTTTACTTTTCACATAATAAGTAGCGGCCCAAAGTTTTTACGTGGTGAAGTTAGGAGGTGAGAGTGTTAAAATGGGCAAGATATTATTTACCCAAAGCAAAGGCAGAGTACAATACTCGAAATTAAACACTACCTATCACTGGGGGAAAATAAGCCCAGGTACCAAAGCTCATTATTACTGGGGTAGGAGGGATGCAAGCAGCAATGATCAAATTTCGACACTGAACCAAGATAAATAAAAATACAACAGGACTGTGAGTTCCAAACGTATGTTAATCCTCTTTTAACTGTGATATGCCATAACCCTTATTTATCAGTGTAGAGCTGGAGTCCATAAGCTTAAAACACACTACCATGAATGAGTTCATCACACTAACCCAAGCACATCTCAAGAGGAAATAAATGGGTGTCTCACTGCTCTAAAACATTGAAAAGTACTGAAACATCAATAAAAGTAAAAATGCTTCATGACATTCAAACAGTGTCCTCCCCCAAAATTAAAGTGTGTCCTTTCGGTCCCAATAGCCCAACAAAAACAATGCTTTTGACATTTTAGTATAAGAAAGTGACTGTATTGTCTTAAGATCCAAAAGTCAAGAGGCAGCAGGGTTCTAAATTCCTTTAGAATTACCTCGTTTAATTAATAATGAGGAGAGATCCAGCTTTATTTTTCACAAACATAGCTTAGATGACTTTCCCAAGGCCCCTGGCAAAAGTCAAGCTCAGAATTCCTCATGGTTTCCCCTGGCTTATGGTTTGTACACTGAGTCATCCAGGCTTGATCCAATCAGGGGTACCCTTGAAGTTGCACAAGTATAAAGAAGAGACCACAGGAGAGAAGGACCACTCATTATTTAACACTGCCAAGAGCTACAGAATTCAACTGTTTCTAAAACAACATTTTTGTACGTTAGACTTTTTGACAACATTGTAGATCACGTGGTGAGCAGAGAGACCAAATTATTGGATAGAGACTGCGTTTGATCGGAGTCTACGGAGTTAATGGAAAAGGGGAATGAGTTGACCAAAATTCAAAATTCATCAAGGGAGTTTCAAAATACCAGTGTATCCCTAAGATGATGGGCCGGTTGAAACTTCTAGGCTGAACCTAAACTGCCTGTCCCTTGTGCTTAATCCAAGTATTCATTACAGTCCTTTTGTCTGTGAAATGACCACACCAAGCCACAGCGGAGAAAATAACAGATACCTGCACTAAACAATCGTTATTTCGGGAAAGAAGACTAGACAATCTTTCCATTAGTTCCAGCTCTTCCTCCCCAACCCACCCCCGTCACCCACCCCCACCTTTATTTTCTTAAGACAGAAATGGCAACAACGGGAGGTGGAAAGGAAGCCAAGGTCCCGAAATACAAGTTTGGAGACCAGCACCAACTTGTGGCGATGGACCCAAGTATTTAGGGCCTATTGCAGAATGGGAGTGAAACCCCACTCACCCGCCCGTAGGTGGCAGGAAAAGAAGTTGGGGGGTGGAATCTGGCATAAAAGAGGTGGCAGGTCAAGCAGCGCGTCCAGCCACTGCTGATCGATGGTCGGTAAACAAGCGGGGCGGACCCACCCTCCCACAGCCCCAGGCCTGGCCCCGCAACGGGAAAGCCCAAGATGGAAGCGCGGCGAAGGGAGACCGTGCCCCCTCCCCTCCCCAAGCCCGCAACGCCGCCCCTTGGGGCGCGGGCCAGCAGCCCGGGAGAGCCGGCTGTCTGGGGGCCGCCAGGGAGCGAGGGGACGGACAGGCCGCGGCGGGGACCGCGAGGGGCCTGCGAAGGGACGCCCGCCCGGGGCCCGATTACCTGGCGGCGGCGACTCCCCGAACAGCCTGCGGCGACGAGCCGAGCCCGGCCCCTCTCCGCCTCCCTCCGCGCCGCCGCCCGCCCCGCTGCTGCCGCCTCCGCCCTCTTCCTTCAGTCAGGACATGGTCTCCGTGGGCCCGCGCGCGACTCCCGGCTGCCGGAGGCGGGGGCAGAGGGGTGGAGAGCCGGCGCGGAGGCGGGAGGGGGGGGTCACCGTGGGGGAAGGAGGAAAGAGGATGAAAGAGGATGGGGGACCGGCCTCGGGCGCTGCAGGATCCTAATGGCGGCGGAGAGGGGCCCCGGAGCCAAATAAACCCCACGGAGAGCAGCACAACGTCAAGGCCGGACCCCGTCTCTCGCCGCCCTGTCATTGGCCTGACGCCACCAGCGGTGCAGCCAATGGGTGGCCGCCTCTTTCCCGGTGCAGGAGGCGGGCCGCGGAGGGGTGACGTCACGCCAGCGCCCGGCGCTGACTGTAAGGCGAGGACTGGGACTGCGGGCGGGGACTGCGGGCCTTCGGCGCCTTGCGGGGTCGCCCGGGTGGCCCGGCGTCCCTCCCCTCTGCGACAGACTCCCCAGGCTTACTAGTTGGCCCCCAAGTCTCCGGGCGCCCTAACGAACTGCTTAGTAGAATATGTTTCACTTTTGCTTACTACAGTTTCAAACTGTATGACATCAGGGAAGAAATGTTTAGGTTGTGCGTGACTGTAAAATATAGATAAATAAAAAGCATTTTTACTCCTGCCCTTGGAGGTGGCTATCAATTATAAATGTGTATGTTTATATACACATTGGAATATTATTCAGCCATAAGAAGAAAACAAGTCCTACCATTTGCAACCGCAAGGATGGAGCCGGAAGGTATTATGCTCAGTGAAATAAGCCAGGCAGAGAAAGACAAGTATCAAATGATTTCCCTCATTTGTGGAGTATTACAACAAAGCAAAACTGAAGGAACAAAACAGCAGCAGACTCAAGAGTCTCCAAGAAGGGACTAGTGGTTACCAAAGGGGAGGGGTGGGGAGGGAGGGAGAAGGGGATTAAGGGGCATTATAATTAGCACTCACAATATAGTTAGGTCATGCGGGAGGCCGCACAGCACGGAGCAGACACCTAATGACTGTAGCATCTCACTATGCTGATGGACAGTGACTGCAGTGGTGGGGGGAATGATAATGTGGGTGAATGTTGAAACTACAATGCTGCTCATGTGAAACCTTCGTAAGACTGTATATCAATGGTACCTTAATTTAAAAATAAGTGTGTGTGTTTAGAACATATATGACATGGATACACAGACACATGGTCAAAATCTGTGGAATTATATGGCATACCTCAATAAAGTAAAAATTTAAGCCATCAAGACTTAGCTTTTTGCTCTCTTCTAAATATTTCCTAACTCTAATTTTGGGTAAACCCAGCTTTCTTACAGTTGCCTTTGTGTAACTTGGAGATGGTTTCCTTTTCTGTGAATTGTATATTTAAGGCAGGGGATAAATTACAGCCATGGAAAAAACACTGTCAAGAGAATTCCCAGAGCCCAAGTTCTAAAGAAAATGTGTTAATGGTGATGTATTTTGTACATTTCTTTTTTTTACTGTAAATATAACCAAATAGTCCAAGTCATTTATCCATTTGCTAAAACCCCATGTGTCAAGTTTTTCCAGCTGGAAAGCTTTGTTTTCCCAGGGGGACTTCACCTTGTATTTTTTGTACTTCAAATTTTATTTAAAGAATTTAAAAGACCATAAAACACAACTCTTTAAGAGTTGTAAACCTCTATCTTTTGGAGATGAACTGTAGCACTGTCAAGGGCATTTAGGAGTTGTACTGGACACCTCAGCTTCAATAGGAAGACTGTAATTCAGAGTTTAATTAGATTTTTAAAACTTGGATGGAGACTTCATTTAACAAAACTATTCATGGTATTATTCACAGTCTCTTTGCACACATATGGCAAAGGATGTGTGTACAACTTCACTATGGCCACTGAAAAATGATACTCTATAAAGCTTCCCTCACAAATGACCTCTTTCATAATTGTTGGTATATTTTATCCTCACAGCCATTCCTGTCACAAAGAGACTTTCAATAATCTCCATCTTCTCAGAGCAACATTATTTCCTGAAGGACCCACCAGTAAACTGAGTTTAAACTACAACAGTCATTGCCTACAAATAACGCATTCCCAAACCTATGATTAACACAACTGTGGATAAAATTAACCACCACACTATTATGTAAGAACAAATGGTTCAACCAATATTTCACTTTGAAAATATTTTAAGAACCTCAGAATACCTCCAGTGTCCCCTTCCTGAACCTCAACTGCAAAGCATCTTACCTACAACTTGGCAAGAACTGCAGAATTATGTGTTTTCTTTAGAGTTTATTTTGTTAAGGGAAGGGGATATTGTTTGGGTAAAAGTCTTATTAACTCTTCATTCAGTTTAGTAAACATGAAGTACCATGTGCTAAGCAACAGGCAGCACATGAAGACGAGTAAGACACATTCCGCCTTTGAGGGAACTACAGCATAGCAAGGGGCCAAGACAAAAATAACCAAAATTGTAATGAGGTAGAATGTGCTAAGTACATTCAAATGAAATTATCTTGTAATTGAAAAACAGGAGCAAATCCCCAAATGACTCTATGTTAATGCTGGAAAGATCCCTGATATCCATGCAGTGGTTCTCAACCCTGGCAAACATTAGAATTGTCTGAGGAGCTTTTTCAAAATACACGTATCTGGGCCCCACTCAGATTGAAACAATCCCCAGGAGGAAAGCCTGGGCGTGGCTATATTTTAAACACACTCCCCAGGTAACTAATGTGTAGCCAACTACTGACAGTCACACCCCGCAGTCTGCAAATGTGAAAACTGATGCCTAAAGATTTTAAGTTATTTACCAAAAGACAGACCATCTAGGTCTGAAATTAGAACAAAGCTCTTGATTTCCCAAAACTTTCCATTGCACATATTTGAATGAAAAGATGACAAATACAGCAAATAGCATTGGCACAATTGAACTGATTCATGCTGTTTGGCATGGAGATTAAATTACCATTCTCCATATATATATATATTTCTGAATTCTGAGAAATACTTATTTGGGAAGAAGATATCCACTATTTTTTTGTAAAGCTCTTTTTCTTAGAACCCTTGTTGTAATGTGTAGGGACAGTATAGTCTTGTTGACAATTATTTAGGGAAACACTTGAAATAAAAGCCAAAATAAGGTACCTGTAGAAGATAAAACTCCATTTTACTTTTCCTGCCTCATTCAGAAGGTCTTGAATGCCAAATTGGGGATCTATACTTTATCCCTTTACTAGGAGAAAGCCATGGAAGGGTTTTGAGCAGGAAATTGCCAGTACTGGAGCTGTACCCTAACACGGAATGTCTGTGGGACAATCTAGGGTAGAACTGGAAATAGGGACAGAGAAACTGATTCAGAGACAAGGCTCTGAAACCAGAGCAGCTGAGAGAATGGAAAGGTGAGTGAGAGTGGACGGAGGTGGTGGGAGAATTGTTGAGGGTCTGCCACTGTCTGAACATGGGGCAGAAGAAAGCAGCTCAAGTCAGAGAACTCCCGATGATAGGGGTAAGATTAAGAGCAGGAACCCAGGAACGGAACTAGATAAGAGGAGCTGTTGACTCTTGGCTTGGGTATGTCCACATCCTGGGCTCAGGAAGAAATGTGCAGAGAACAGGAAATGCTGGTCTGACATGTGGTAGATAAACTGCTTGATTATCTCCAGCTCCAGCCTAGGTAGAAATTACCACGGAAGCCACAGGAGTAAGAAAGAAAAACAGATTGGTTAGAAAATCAGATGCAAAAGGTGTTCTGGAAGTTAAAGGGTCAGTGATCCTCAAGAACGGAGTTATGAGCACCTTCAGATTCTACAGACGTAGGAATTAGAACAGAGAAAAGGTCACTGCATTCCACAAACAAGAGGCTCAGTGACCTTCTAGAGAACAGTTCTCAGTAGGATGGTGGGGAGAGAAGCCAGATTTCAAAAACTGAAGGCATGTGTAGGCTCTCTGCAGCAGTGATCACAGACTCCCAGTCCCAGACAGTGGGCAATGACAGAAAGGCAGGAGATGGAACAGGCACAGGGTAATGGGAATGAGGGAAAGGTCTTGTTTTCCTGCATATATATTGTAAGAATGTGCATATCAGCAATTTCATAAACAGAGGAAAGAAGGTGGAGAGTGTGCAGGTAACGACCGAAACCCAGGGGAGAGGGAAACTAGAGCAGGGTGATTTGTTGTGGCAATCCCAGGGCTCTCTCTTTCTCAGAAACAAGAGGAAAGGAAGACGTGAAACACAGAGCTGTCCAGAGAGCCTGATGGGAGAGACAGGTGAGGATTCCGAGGCATATTCTTTCCCTGCCTGGGGGACTAGGCAAGCGGAGGTCATGGGCGAGGGTTGGGCTGAGTGCTTTGGGACAAGGGGTGTGGAGAAGCAAAAAGAGTGACAAGGAGCCACTTCCTCTGACACGGTTAGGTGGCCCAGTGTGAGGCCTAGAACAGCGAGGCCAAACAGGCAGAGGCCACCCAGCAGGCACATTTCCAAATAAGGACAGTTAAAGGCACTTTGCGGAAGGCAATGACAGCAGGTCCCATTTGCTTAGGGTCTGTTGGGAGGATCTGTGCTTTTATGAAGTTTTATACAACTGGTGAGCTCTGCTCAAAAGAAATGCTGGAAAGTCCAATTGTTACAAGAACAAATTCTCAGCCATTCGGCAAAAAAATGCCAGTTATATAAGCTGCAAAATACCTGGCATTCACTGTATATGATCAACATCATTTCTCAGGGGCAAAACCTCTTTACAGTAGAAAATGCAATATAATAATAACACTGCCTGCTTCGTTCTCATGAAATAAATGACACTGTTTTGTAGAATATAGGATCATCCAGTCACCCTTCTGGACACCAACCACAAACATGCCTGAGACAAAAATCTCTCACAAAAGGGCAAAGTGTGTATGTCAGACATCAGACTAAAACAGCTCATGTGACTTAATCAAGTCCTGATTTGTGCTAGGACTAGTCTCAGCTCCGTGGGTAGGAATTTATGTTCACAGGAGCAAGGTTAAGAAATTTTCATTAACCTTAAACTAGATATCCTTGTAAGCTAGACTCACTGAGTTATGAGAGAATTGTTGAAGTTTTATGGATCTTTTTAATAAGTTTGGAGACATCAAATATCTGAAATAACTTCACTTCTGTTATTCTCTGGACCTGGAAAA